AGAAGGAGGAAGCATAACAAGCAGATAGAGAAGAAGACAATGGAGAGAGAAGGAAGAGGAGAAAAAGAAGAGGAAGATAAAGGACAGAACATAAAGTGTGTGATTAACTCATTCTCCTTCTCCGTCATTCACATTTGCTCAAATTCTCTAAAGCAAATATGATATTCTATAGTGAACACTACATTTCCCTCTTCATATAATACTGTTGAAATTATTTTCACACTATTCGACTTTAACACAAACTAAAAGGAGCTGTATCATGTGTTTGTGTATATGTATAGAGCATATGTATGTGCATATGTGTGTGTGGATATGTATACATGCATGTGTATATGTGAATGTGTGTGTGTATAAGTACATGTGTATATGTATATATGTATATATGTATATATACATATATATGCATATACATATATATACGTACATATATGTACATACATATTCACATATGCACACATACATGTATACACATATGCATATACATATATACTTATGCATATACACATACACACATACTATATGCTCTCTATACCTACACAAACATGATGCAGCTCCTTTCCCTGAAACAGATTTACAGAAACCACAGAGTCTCACATCTTTCAAGGCCAATGAACACTTGTAATCCAAGGTTGTGTTACTAGTTTGGGTTACTTATCCACCAACGTCAAAACAGTCACTTTCTCAAACTTGTCACTGGGTCATAACTCACACCTATACCTCTCATGCAAGTAACACCTATGATACCTATTGGAAACGGGGTACTGTTGTGTTAAATCTATAAAACGATTGCTCTACAATTGTCTTTAAATGTGCCTTCTGTTATTGTTACCAAGAAAAACAGCATGGCATTGCTAGTTTATAATTAACATGATACTGATGATATTCATGTCAGAGATACTGTCCATCAAATTAATGTGTCGCATGAAGCATGAACCTTCCAACATGAGCTATAAAATAAGTATGGTGGTCAGAAATGCCTTACATAGTTTACCACCAAAAATAAAGAGATAATATGATGTATCACAACATAGGATGTATACAACAAGAGGAATACAAATGTGCTTTCAACATTCCTCATTTCACAAGATTAAAAAAAACAACAACAAAGAGCATCATAATCAGTCCACTTTCACAGATGTACTGTTATAAGAGGTACAGGGTTTACAAACTCCAAGTCACATTTTACGCAATACCTTAAAAGTCTGTTCTATACTGCACACGAAAAGAGAAAAATGAGGCACAATGTTATGAAGAACACAAACACCCTCAAGTGGGTGTATGGCACGTTATCATATAAAAGAAGAACAACCACCTCAAAATCTATTTCAATATGGAAAATGCTAATTCAGTCTGGTTTTATACTAACCTACAATGCATTTACTTGAAAAAAAAGGAAAGAGGAGACAGTAAAATAACAGACAAATAAACAAACAAGTGTTAGTTTTCACATCACACAGTCTCAAACCCTAGAAGAACATGTCCCATACTTAGAAGGGAAACTACTTGGCAATTACAAACCTCAGCCCCAACTTCTTAACAAGTAGAACTGGATACAACAAAGGAACTAATTTACAAGCAGTACAGAAAATATCTAATATTTAATGGTCTTCCCTTTTGACTTACAGTAATGGCAACCACACACCGCTTTATGTTTGTAATTCAGTAAAGCCAGTTACAGAATCCTGCATACTCTAGTACTACTAATCATTAAACAGTATAAGTGGGGAATGGATATTCCTCATCTGTGTACAAAGAATGTGGTAAAATCATTAGTATTTTTACATACTTTGTCCCTTGAATACTTCTCACGAGAATCAACAATACTGCAAATGTGGAATTTTAATGCTCTAGCTTTTACATAAACGTTCCTGCATGTTCTTTCATTATACATAGATGTTCAGGTACTTTCAGCTGTATTTTCTATGCCTAGGGTGAAGGCCAGCAAAGTTGCCAGCATGTAAATGAAAAAAGATAATAATAATAATTATAATAATAATGCTACTAATGAGTATTTACCCTCCATTCATGCCCATAATTTGACATTCTAGCTACCTCTTGTAGGAAAAAGAAGCCTTTAGTACATCGACACATTAAATAATATTGGTGCAATTATAATGTAACCCAGATACCTTTTTTTGTGATGGCTAATAGTTAGCACTGATGATTCCTGCAGTATTTTCATCCTTTTTTTTTTTTTTTTTTTTTTTTGCAACAAACAAAATTCTTATAAAACAAGAGACAGACTCTAGAAAAATGAGAAAGAGAAGAAAAAAGAGGTGAAGAATAGGAGGAGGAGATAGAGAAGAAGAGAAGAAGAAGGAGGAAGACCAGAAGACAGAAGGGGGGGGGGGGGAAGAAGAGGCAGAGGACAGATAAAAAAGGAAGAGGAGTAGAAGCCGAAGAAAGAAGAGGAGGAATAAGAAGGGAAAGAATAATAATAAGGAAAAAAAAAAAAAATTCTTTTGATGCTAAAAGCTTGAGTCCAGAATGCCTTAATTCCCTCAAAACTTTGGCAAAGATTAGACAACAGATCAAAGCACAGTACAACAAAGCTCTAAGACAGTGATAAATCCACTTATATAATGACACAAGCGACCTGTACACTAAGTAGGAAGAAACAAATACCAAAAATCTAGTAAGAGACGAGGAAATTGCAAAACAACGCAAACGTCAAAAAATTCGCTTCCGTTTTCCGCGTCTGATACGACAGACGCCAGCTACCAGGAACTGTGTCCAACTACCTGAAACGTTCTGGAAAACGGTAATTCAACAAATGCCTACGAAAATCTGCATATTATCACAGAACAAGCCTTGCCTTTTTAATAGCCCTTAACATAATTTCAGGTAGCAGTTTATTCATGGAAAGGAGCAAAAGTTACCTCCGCAACAGGATACTGTAGTTGGACAAATGGAAAAACAATAATGATAATGATATTAAATAATGTATGATACACTATCCTACATTTCTTGTTTTTGGTACAAATCAAAAATGCTAAAATTTGTCAACTGTAGAAAATATGAGACTCCTAATTCAGTCAGGATTAAGAACACAAAAGTAAACATATACCGAGTCTTTGCAGATACACTTGGGTTCAAAATGGTAATATATATTTTTCAGTCCACTAAAAATTGCTTATGTATGCATCACATTCATTCATATTAGAGAGCTCAACTATTATATATACAATATATATATACATATATATATATATATATATATATATATATATATTTATATATAGTACATATACATATACATATAAAATATATATATAATATATACATACATATACATATACAATATATATATAATATATATATACATATACACATACAATATATATATAATATATATATACATATACATATACAATAGATATATACATATACATATACATATTATATATATACATATATATATATATAATAATAATAATAATATTAATAATAATAATAATAATAATACAAATATACAAATTTAAAAACCATCATAAAGATGGGAGGAACTGAATTACAACTATTCAAAATTATAGCTAATAGAAATTATATCTAATTAGGACAGAGGCAGATAGTAGGCCATGAGAGAAAATTCATTTTAAAAAATATATCGCATTGGTAACAGATAACTCAATATGACACAGAAAGAATGCTCAAAACATGAAATCTGGAAAAATAAATAACAAAAACTTTCCCTGATCACAGTCACTCAAAATGCCACAAGGTCTAGACTGAAAAATTAATGTTACCTTCTGAACTTTTAAATTTCAAACAACCATGCACAGAATACCATTTAGTGTTCAAGTGCAAGGTACTGACATAGAGCAATGCAAACATTAAATATAAGAGACAATATACTGTATCAAAATATATGTAACTGCATCACCAAGAGATTTATAAAGTGCACTTATCTGTAAAGAAATCCCTATATATATAAATATACATATATAATTATATATATATATATAATCATATATATATATAATTATACATATATATATATATATATATATATATATATATATATATATATATATATATATATATATATATATATATATATATATATATATACATACATATGTATATATATGTATAAATATCTATGTATGTGTGTATATATATATATGTACATGAATATGTATACATATGTATATATGTATATGTATGTATACATATATACATACATGTACATACATATACATACATTTATACATATATACATGTATATATATACATGGAAGAAAAACCCACAATGTAAAACAAGATTTATTGAAAGACCTGAGGATGAAATCCAGGTGGATTCCAAAACTGTTCATCTCACTTTCAATAAATCTAGTTTTACATTGTGAGTTTTTCTACCATAGTATCAACATGGTAGAGTGTTTTCACCATACATATATACATATATATATACTTACATATATATACATACATATATATACATACATATATATACATACATATATATACATACATATATATACATACATATATATACATACATATATATACATACATATATATACATACATATATATACATACATATATATACATACATATATATACATACATATATATACATACATATATATACATACATATATATATATACATATATATATACATATATATATATATATATATATATATATATATATATATATATATATATATATATATATATATATATATATGTACATATATATATATATATATATTTTATAAACAAGCTACCCTCATAAGGAACCACAAATTTCAAGAAAATCACCACTACATATATCACTTTTTTCTCCCTGGCAGGCAAAGAGTGATGAAATTTCTAAGGACCCATGTTTGTATTTCAAAACAAACATACTAGTGTGATTCACATATACATCTTTTAAGGCCGGACTAGCAAAATATACACTTTACTTTCTAAAAGACAAAAAAAGAAAAAAAAGTAAATAAATAAATAAATAATAATAATAATAATAATAATATAATAATGATGATGATAATAACAATAATAATAATAATAATAATGATGATAATAATAATAAAAATAATAATAATATTAATAATAATAATAATAATAACAATAATAATTAATAAATAAATAAATAAAACCACTGTCAAGGAACAAGCCGTTCTCTTAGTAAAACCCTTATAACTACTACATCTTTAAGGCCTTAGTCATGCCGCAGTTATGTCAGGGTGCGGCTCACATGACGTTCCTGAAGGTTTTCATTTCTGCCGAGGAGCTCGTCGTCATTTGAAGATGACGACAGGAGGATGTCAGACTCGTCCTCCTGCTGAACGTCATGTCTCTTGTAACGGACCTGAAGAGATAATATAATCAAGAGACTCTCCATAATAATGATAATAATAATCATAACTAATAATAATGACATAATAGTCATAATTAACAATAATGAAAATAATGATAATAATAATCATAAATAGAAGTAGTCCTTATTTTAGCTATCAGTAATAACATCAATAATGGCAATAATGATAATGATAATATTAATATTTTAATGTTCATGTTAATGTATTGTCATATAATTGTTTTAGACAAATATATAACAATATAGACTATTATCAGCATCCCTTTATTTTGATTATAAGCAACAACATAACATTGACAAAATAAATAAAAATCTAATGTCTGAAATTTCTGCCAAACAGCACTTTCGAAGCAGATATTCTACATCTAAGATAGTCCCATTGTCAGGCTTTGTTGAAGATAAATTTGGTAGTTGACTTGCATCACACTGTAGGTGTATCGTTTGCCAATACATCTACATATATATCTATATATATCTATATATATCTATATATACATATATATACATATATATACATACATATTCATATACATACATATACATATATATATACATATATATACATACATATTCATATACATACATATACATATATATACATACATATATATTATATTAGACTGCATTTCTACAGCTGTAACAGTTGTGAAATATCAGTTACTAATTCATGCAACACTCCAATGCCACTCTTCCTGTGTTCCCAGAAGTTTCCATCAGCTAATAACTCATGGATGGTGTTTACAAAAGGTCAACAGAGGATACCCTATAAAAACATTTTTGCATGATTCTTTCCTGTTATAACATAAACCTCGGGAAACTTTCGTGGTTGATCTTGTTGATTTCTAATTCCGATTTAGGGTTTGCCAATGTCATATCATCCTAAGAGTCTTAAAACAAAATTTCCGATAAAAACCATCCAATCCATCAGTTTCACTTACAATTTGCAAAACTTTGCAAGAACATTTTTGAAGCCTTTTATCTCCCACACCCCGCAAAGAAAAAGTATCTTCTTCACCAAATATAAGCTAATTACTCCCACACTGATTTAACAACATACTCTTACCTTTGAGAATCCCCTAGCTGAGCCGGAGGTGGAGACTTCACTGTATCCACTCTCTACGCTGTCATTGTGTATTTGTCGCACCTTCAGCATCAAGAAGTTGTCTGTTACCCAGAAGATAAGTGCCTGTGGAAAATAATTTAGTCTCTTTAATCTGCAATATAGTGGACATACTGATAAAATAAGTTATATCATAGTTTGGTCCTATTCCTTATATATGAAAAACTGATCATTCAACATCTTTTGATTTTCTTCCAAACGTCAGTGACAAAGAGAATACATCGCTAAAAAGCACGAGTATCTGTACATAATATATATATACTTATTCTTTTATCTCATCTATTTTTTCCATCATTAATATGAAAAGAGTGGAGAGGTCATTGAGAAATCCACTTGCCACAAAGCTGACAATGCAATGTCATATCATTGTCCAGCAGGAGGTGAAGTGTTAGGCATAAATAAAAATGGAATAAAAAAAGTGTAAACAACAAACAAGTGAATGGTGATGAACATAATATAGGAGGTAATCATCTCAACTAAATCGAGTGTACCATCAATATAGAGAAAAAAGACCCCACTGTCTCCAGGCCAGCTAGAATGCCAATGTGCCTAATGTAAGGTGTGTGTACACAACCAATGCACTTTTTTCCATGCCACATGTGCACCAATGAAGTCTGTGGCTGTGATACTGGCATGTACAAGATCATAAGGCCTTTAGTGCTATTTTTCAATATAAGTTCCAGTCTATAGTCCACAGGCTAGAAGGGCTATTAACAATGATTGGACTGTTGGTGAGATGGCCCTTCTCGGCATGCCATCCGGGGCCAAAAGAGTTAATGAACAAATTTATTACTGATACCACAAGACTCCAGCTCCCCTTATAAACAACACAACTGAATTAACTCATCAATAATTGTAACATGACCTGAGACCTATAAGAGGCCCAACAGATTTTCAGGTTTCAATTCTCATGGCTTCATTAATCTGACAGTCTCCTATGGATAATGATCTTTTCTCATAGTACTGCTAAAATCTCACATTCAGTGTCACGGCCAGGCAAGATTACAGCTATGAGTCCCGAACCTCTCTTATCATTCTGAATTAGAAATTGAAATCACAGAATAAGCAGGAAATGTAAGTTCCATGTGTTGAAGGGTCAAGCTGTTATGTTAGGGAGCTGTGTATTATATCATTTCATCTATAAAAAGACCATCAAAATTACCATTTGCCATTCATCTCCTGCCAAATACCATAGGAAGAGAGAAAATATTCTAAGTTAAGAAAATGATGCAAAGACTTTATCAAAATGAAGTCAAAAGTCACTTTGTAAACATATTTCAATATAACATTACAAACTTCTTTTGGTTTCAATACATTCACTTCGAAAATGACCCAAAATGATACTTTTATGAAAGACATATACACCACTGGTAAAATTAATGCAACTTGTATATCCTTCATACAAATATATCTTAGATTGGTGATTCTCAACCTGTGGGCCATGGTATAATTCACAGAGAGATCAACATACAAAAAGTTACATATTGCAGGTAAAACAGTGTAAAAAAAAAGGTAAAATAACATTAAAAAAAGTATATAAAAAAAAAAAAAGGTCAAAACTTCCTCCTTCTTAGTCCCTACTTCAAACAAGTTCCAACCTTTTTGCATCTTTTAGTTAAAATCATAAAGAAAATAACTAAGTAGCCTAAGTAGATACAAAAGAGAGACCCTATTCAAAATTTGAAGACCGCGAACCGTAACAACAAGAGAATGACAGAGGTAGGCTATGGTCTAAAGAGGTTAAAAAAATAACACTGCCTTAACCTAATGCCACCGGGAAAATGCTGTGCTTATTTTTTTTTATTTTTCTGCAAAATGTCTCTGCACATAGATGGCTCTGCTAGTGCTTAGCCACAAGGAAGTCAATTAGTAGACCCTGTCCCCTTACCTGATTTCACCTTTTCTTTGAATTGGTGGGAAAAATGTTTTTTTACTAATGCCATGAATATCGATGGTGTTATTTTTATATTTATTATAATTACTATAATGTTATAGACATTTGTAACAGCAAAATAAGATAATGTAAAAAAAAAGTAAAAAATCAAGGAAAAGGGTAAACAGGCAAGGCAGGCAGTACTCATAATTGGCTCACTGGTGACTTAGTACAAGTGTAGCCATCGATGTGTAAAAACAATAAAGTGAACTCACAGTGGGCATGGCATTTACGTACATGCCATGCCCATCGGATTTGGGTTAAATGAATTTGCCTTGCTTAAAGATTCATTCCAACACCAAAAATTATAATGCATTATTGAAAAATTCTATAGGATTACTGATTTACTTTGGTTCTAGGTTCTGAAAATCAGCCAAGAATCTTTTTATTCTCCAATAATTTAACTAGTTGGGAAATATATAAGGAAACAAAGATACAGCCTTGGAACCAAGCAAGTGCCTCTCACATATCCACCCCAGTTAAAGAGTGATAAAAAAAAAGAGTACAGGTCGCACTCTGTACAGAAGCAGAAAATAAGTGAACCTTGTAGTTTTGTGTCATATTTCGAAATTCATAGAAAATAATTACAGCTACCTGAGACTATGAAAATGGATGTTGTTGGCTGCCATGCAATTTTGGCTGCCATGCAATTACTCCACAACCTATGACAGATGATGAGATGTCTGAGGCACTCTCACACACTTAACCCTGTCAACAGAGCCCAAAGAAGGTCAAAGAAACTCAAACAAAATAACTTCAATACGGCCGAGTTCTCTCATAACCATAGTAAAGTCAATAGTAAGTCAAAATAGTGTGTTTATTCTCCCTTTGTTATGCTCTGCTCTAGAGCTAAATTTCCAATAATTTCTTTAAGCTACATTAAAAAATCATTGAGCTAATAATCCCAGAAGAAAATTATAACCATGTTTTCATAACGACAAAAAAATAATTAAACCGGATATTTTCAGTCTACCAAAGAAACACATCAGTTCAAAATTTTCTCATATTCCATCAAACATTTCTTTATTAAACCACATCCCCAGTATCAATATATTAAGTGCTTGGGAGGAAGCTCAGGGGGCATTCTATTTTAAAGGGGTTTATCACAATAACTTTAAAGGGGTCTATCACTATAACAAGCTTTAGAACAAGGTCGGTCATTATAATAGGCTTTACACTCTGCGGTCACCTTAACAAGGTTGCTTCTGAATCCTTTAAAGACGAAAGAAAACCTTGTAAAATGAGAGGTAAAGTTTAAGAAGCCAGGAATGAGGTTTTGAGCAGAAAGCATCACAGCAACAAGAATGATCAGATTATATTCAGCAGTCAGATTTCTATAGAGGCAAACGAGGTAGGTGGTAGAGAGACCTATAAAACATTTACTGTAGCTAGTGGATCAAGTAAAAATATGCAGCCTACTATTAGCCCGAAAAGCAGCAAGATATCTTATTACATCATATCCTACCACTGGCTGAGTTCAAGGTGATGCCAGATAATAGCTGTTTCTGTATCTGAAGACCATCAAGGCTGCATTTTAAAGTCCATAAAGAGGGTAGACTATAACACTTGTAAAACCATTAAAATATTTGCAGGTAAGCAGGTATCAACAACATTTTCT